ACAGACTTTTGGGTCTGACTACTCTCAGTTCTCTTCTGATATCCCTATCTTACCATCACCCTTTGATTCACACCAAAAGGGGGATCTAATAGATGGTTGCCTTGCCTTCATGCTTCAAGACATTCTTTTTTTCTTCACTGTCAGCAGTGATGCATCTTCACTAGTGCTAGCACAGTCCACTCTGAGGCACTTTACTCTCACCCTTGTGAGATGAGCCAAAAAAGTTTACATGAGGTTTGGGATCAAAGTCCAGCAGGCACCTGACATTCTCCCACTTCTTTCACTCAGAGCTGTTTCTGAGGTAGCAGTAGCAGGTATCATTTTAGGAAAAGAAAAAATGCTGGTCACACCCCAATCACCCTTATAAATAGACTTTCAGAAGCAAATACAGAGCAATTCTACATTTAGTATTCCTGTGGTGTTTTAAACAGAACTAGTAAGTTTTTGCTGGACTTTGATACTTTTCTTTTTTTTTTTTTTTCCCACTGAAAACAATCACGTTTGTTCTGCCTAAAGAGGAGATTTTTGTTACATCCCCTTGCAAATGGTTCCTGATCTCTGTTTATATTTCCAAATTTTTCTTCCTTCCCAGCATAGTCAGTTTGAGGGAGGAGTAGAATCACTATGGCAGCAGGCTGCTTCCCAGACGTGTCAGAGAAACCTGCCAAGTTTCTTAGGTTTATTGTGAGTGGTGCTGAGATTCTCTTTTGTGTTTGTCACGCAATCAGTTGAAAATAGCAGTATTTGAATAAGGATTTCACACTCCCTTGTTCTATCCCTGGCATGGCCACTTGTGTTTCATCATCCATGTCAGTCTCATGCTTGTTCCTGAGAGGATGGAAAGGAAATGGTGGGGTAAAATACTCCTTAATTTGCTTCTGAAGACAAAGGTCTCATCATGCCTCTTGTACTGGAGCACTGGTACAAATCGAAACAGCAGCCCCTGGAGAGTGTTCAAATGGGGTTTTCTGGAACTGCGTCACATTTGTTTCCTCACTGGAAGGTCAGAGGGCTCAGAGAAGTCCGTAACAGCAGATCAGTCTTGTTGACGCGGCAAGACTGAGCTGTTTTTTTAAATTGTGTCAAGGGTCAGCACCTCCAGCAGAGCAGCTATTGCTGTTCAGGCAGCCAGTCCTAGCAGGGAAACTCTCAGTGATAGATGCTCCTCTTGTAGGTTGTGTTATTGTCATTGGGAAAACACTTCCACAGCTTTGGCATGTGCTTACTGCAATCTGTCACATTAATTTCCAAGCTCTGTTTTGGAGTCATGCATTCAAATCGCATCTGGGAGATGCTGGGATGCCATACCTGGTCTTGGATTATATACTTTTCCAAGCTGAGGGCTGTGGAAGTGTGATAATACCTGCCCTTCAATACTACAGATCCGTGAGGAATACCGTTGGGTCTGATTTTGTGGCACCCTTATAGATATTCAGTTCTGTACTGCAGACAAGTCCTGAGCCTCCAGCTATGTCAGCTGTTTCTTATCACCACAAGAACACATCTACATCAGATGACATCAAGTCCAAAGAATGATGTAGCACCTTTCCTCATAAGTGTGTGCGCTTTGTTTTTGGGATATCCACTGGAGAATATAGGTGGTGCTCCATGCCTGTACACCAGGTTTTGATGTATGGCTGTGTTCTGGTTACTAAATGTATTTTATAGGCTACTCTGTTGATTCCCTGCGAAATGACTGAGTTGAATTTCATCAGTGTTTGGAGCTAGAACTGCCTCCGTTATATGGTTAGAATTATTCTTTACAAGTATCAGTTTCTTTCTACTGACTGTAAGGGAAACATAAATTCCTAGCTTAAGTTTTTCGAGTCACCCTGTTGGTCTGTGTACCTCTGCAGTGCTGAAGTAACTCATCTGAATCCAGCCCACACTCTTTGAAGTACCTGATTTAGAGGCTTTTGTTGCATTGCTTGTTTGTTACTTGTTATTTTTCTCCCTTTTGCACCAATAGCAACAAAGAAACCCTTATTTCTGTGCAATTCCATCAGTTGCATATAGAAATACAACAAATACCTGGGAAATCAGAATGGATCCCAGAAGGGCCTTGTAGAAATTTCTTTTCCAGCTTCAAAAGGTACTATTTACATAATGCAGTAGCTTCACTGAAATGAATGAACTGTGATTTAATGCAAGACCTTTTGTCTTTTATATCGTACATTTAAATAAAAGATGTGTAATTTTAAAATAAAAATATTTGAATTAAAGATGTCTGGTTAATGAATTTGTGAAATTGAAGCCTGTTTCTGATGCACAGCATCAAAACCTTTCACTCTTATTTTAGTAAACAGTAAGAAGCAGGTTCATATTAGCTAATCTAATCAAGTCAAATTTAATATTATCTTAATCTCAGCTGCTCCCCGTGCTCAGTTTCAATTTATGTATTACTGGGTTCCCTCTGGTCTGCTCTTCTGCTTGCCTTTGTCTGTTTAAGACTGTAGACAGCTCAGGAAGGGTCACTATCTTCCAAGACAAGCATGGACAGAAAAGTAAGTATCTGTTCATACTTTTCTTGGCTTAGACCCACATCCCTGCTTTCAAAGGACCTCTCTAGGATCTCTAATTCTTATAGGAAAACAGTAATATATTGCCATCAAAAAGTGTTTTCCATACTGTTTTTTGGTTTGTTTGTTTGTTTTTTTTACCACAGTTACATAATTCTACGGAAGTGTGGAGAGTTTCCCTTTGTTCTAACCAAAGGCTTTAGCTACACTGCAAAAGCTTCTCTATATAGGATTTTTACAGCCTATAAGCTTCTGTAGGCTTGTCTCCTTAATAGGTTTTCCAATGAGTTATTCTGCTTTTATTCATGGCTGTAGTGCTGTTGGAGTTTTCCCCTCTGAAGTTTTTGGGACAACTACTTGCGTTAACTTTCACTTGTTGCTTCCCTTATTCTCAATTCCCTTCTAACCCTTCCTCACTGGAAGAGTGTTTTCTTTATAAGCTAGGAGCAGCTCAGAAATGCAGGCCTGTAGCTTTTACTCACTACAACTGTTGCATGTACCTCCCTGAACAGCTAGCTTAAAGGAAACCATTTTCCAAAATGCTAAATGTTAGGAAAGATCACCCAACAGATGCTTGATGTGCCATCTGTTACAAACAGGAATGAGGCTGCAATGGAGGAAGAACACACTGAGGAGAATAAATCCTGTTTCTTACTCTGTGCTCTGCATATCCTGCCGTAACATCATTTTTTGAACTAATTCAGGTTTTCTTTGCAGATTTGACTTTCAGCTTTTTCCTAACATGTGCAAACAGACGTTGCAGCTGCTTCTGTACGGCATCTCAGGCACTGGTCATCTCTACTGCCCTTCTAACTGGAAGTGTGGTGCTAGCAAGTCCCAGCTGCTCTTAGAACAGGTGATAAAACTCTTGCAAGAAGAAGCCTTCCCAAGGCTCATTTTACTCTGGCCTTCAGGTGTATCTTTGAAGTTCTGAACTAGTCCTCTTGTTATTTCCTTCTGGTCTTATTTTTCTTAATCAGATGATGGAGGACAGCCAAGGCTCATCTCTAATTCTATTTTCCATGCTTTATATGCCCCAGTTGCAATAAATCTCAGACTACATTGCTCTTTGGCATCCAAGCATATTGTGTTGATGCTACGGAGAAGGCAAAAAACCCCTGCAATGAATCTAAGACTTCTTCACAGAAGGCTACTTCTTTGACCCTTGCAGTTGCTGTCAAGTGGGTAGCTGTAGCCTGAATTCCTGTTTATTTATTTATTTATTAGTGAGGGTGTGTCTAACAGATGAGAACACGTCCAGCTTTCACATGGGAAGGAGAAGTTGAGATGCTGAGTGCTGAGCTAAAGCTCACATTCATTTCTTGAAACACAGTGCCCCAATGACTAAACTATAAGCTTGAATGAGATAGGGTCATGCTCCTGCTTTTAAGGCTGGTAATGGTGCAGAACAATGGTTACATCAAGATTTTCTAGTACTAGTGATTTTGGTTTTTACTTGCTTATACCACAAGTGTTGAGATGAGGATTTCCAACAGTTTTCTCCTCTCTGTTACAGACTATTTAGTGTTCTTCTAAGGTACTTGCTATGGGGTAAGAAATTCACAAGAAATGCCCTTTCAATAAAGGACTTTTCTATCTTTCTGTGCCCCCCCTGCTTTCCAAGCACGAGGAGTGGTGCCTAAAAGAACAGGTTCTGTAAAATGGAAAGTGTGAAACCATGTGTAACTGCATTGCATGTTTTTTGACAAATCTGAGGACAAATGCTTAAAACCACAAAAAGACTGACTGCTCTATGCATGGCCTCACTGAACCCTGGTAGTGCAGGCCCCCTTCCCACAGAGTGCCCTTTACATTAGCAGTAACCCAGAAACCTCTGTTAATGGCTTTCAGAGAGGCTAGACAAACTTCCTCAGAGTTGTTATTCTGAAATAAATTTTTTGGGTTGGGGGTGTATATTTTGTTGGTGCTTTTTTTTTCTTTTGCTGTTGTTTTGGTTTGGTTTTCTTGTTTTGTTCAGGTCAGCTACTTAAGATGTATGCCAGAAACCGAGAAGCTACTGGAGTGTGATAGCAGTGTTTATGACTGCATCAGATTCTGATAATAGCCAGCTTTCAGACTAATTCTACTGTCAGGAATACCATGTATGTGACTGGAATATAAGTATTTGTGAATAGATCACAACTACTTGCTATTTCCATATTTATATAAAAAGAGATATATAATTCTTGATAGTGAATTGTCCTCTTTCAATTCAGAATTTTACTTTGCTGTGATTTGAGGGACTTTCAGATGTGCATTATCCTAGTAATAGCAGGCTTACCACAGTTGGTGAATAAGTGAGACGTAAATGAGAGCAGAACCCAGGCTGTGGTATGTACTGCAATTACTGTCTGCATCAGGGAAATTATAATACCTTCCTATCTGGTTACGGTAAGACTAGTACGTCATGAGGAGTTTTGCCAGGGGAAATCCGTATGTCTGACACTTTTAAGAGATCAGAGTTACATTAGAAACTCTTTAATAACTAAAACTCTGTTGAGCCTTATTCATCCAGACACAGAGAAAAGTTTTTGTAGCATAACTGAATGTACTTCTGAAGGTTAGAAGTGTGCAGCACTGCAGTTCAATACACTTGCAGAATTCCCGAGGTCTGCAACCGTTCAGAAGTTTCTGTAAGAAATAAATTACAGAGCAGCTCTCAATAAGGGGGAACTGGAAGAACCTTGTTTCCTTTGTTTAGAATAGAGTCAAAGCAGACTGAAAAAGGGAAGAAAATATTTCATACCTCTCCTTATGAATTCACAGCTCTCTTGTTTCTTTCTAGTATGTAACATAAACTGAGGAGTTAATTTGTTTTTAATTTATTTTTTTTTTAATGTCCCTTCTAAATGCAGATTGTCTGTCCTGGAAGGGATTACTGCAGAACTGGAGGATAAGACCCATAAGATAAGAATTCAGCAAGGGAAAAAGATATTTCATCAGGATGCTACAATATTAGATTGAATTAATTGCTCATTTACATTCCAGGCGAAAGACTTAGAGAACGTATGAGATGCTGGGTCAGCAAGAGGAAAAAGAATGATGGTAAGGAAAACTTTATCAGTTTGACTCTTTTCTGTATGATTGCTGCTCCCAAGTGGATTAGAGGAGTCCTACTAGAGAAATAAAGGATAAGGAGGAGGAAATTGACAGATAGAGATATACCCAACCTTGTTTTTAAACAAGATCGATAACAATGCAATTCTGAACTGGCTGGACAAAAAAACCCCACACTTTGGCATATCTCCCTACTCATCTCCTTGGCTGCTCTTCATATTCTACTTAAATATGTAGAATAAAACTTATTTCATTATTTCCTTGAAATATCAAACTGCTACTGGGAAGGACTGGTGAAAATAAATTTCATTTGCATCTCTCATAGGGATCACACATTGCAGCCAAAGTAGTGTCACTGTTTTAATATTAAAACACTACCAAGGTTTTGTCCATGGTGTTGCACGTTCATGTACCTGGCGTTGATACGGCTGGTGGTGCGATAATGCAGAATAATGAAAAACCTGAAGAAGGTGTCACATTTTTACACAACACTTGAAACTGGTGTAGGGAGCAATTATTGTTGTGTTAATATTTGGTTTTGATAAAAATGACAGCCATATCTAGACAGATGTGTTGAGTGAGTCACAAAATGGCAGGTTCTGATATAACACTTCTCACAGGGAGTGTTTGCCAAATGCCTAAGGTGAATGTGTATGGTGTTTCTACTTTTACAATAAGCTGAGCAGCACACCAGTATCCAGTCCTTCCTAGGGCTGGAAAATCTTCTCAATAAGGAGGAAAGCCCCCTCAACTATTGTTAAGTCAAGTAGTTCCATGAGACAGAGTCTGGCTTTTATATAGTAGCTTCTTAAGGTTTGTGTCTCTTGATGGATTTTCTAATGTTTAAAGTGGTTTGAGGGAATCTTTTTCTGTTTTTGAGGTGTTTGTCTTCCTCCTATAAGGATTTCTGGATTGTAATAAGGTTTTCCTTTCTATTCCCTTAACTATGTGGAACTTTTCACCTTCTGGCACATTTGGTTGAAACTGATCAACATGTCCTGGGATGTGAACACACATGGAAAATCAGACAGCTTGGAAAGATAAAAACCTCCCAGGCCAGTGACAAGAACAGGAACATTTACATTAGATTTCCTTTTGCCAGGCTTGAAATAAAGCCATTGTCAAGACTGGCTGGTAGCTTTAGCCCTCATTGAGACAGCTGAACCTCTGCGTCTGAACCAATTACTATGGTTTTAGTAGGATTGGGCAAAAAGGCAGCTCAATTCAGACTGCTTTATTGGCATGACTACTGTTACAAGCTTTGCCAAAAGGCACGGTGCCACTAGGGATTTGAGAGATTCAACGTGTCAAAATTATTTTGGTCTTAAAATGAGTGCTATTTGATACTTGATTCTTCAATGATTAGAACTGGAGAAGGTTTTGATCTCTGTTCCTGATCTTAGAGGTTTGGATAAATAGTTTTGGTAATGGCAAGACTCACTTCGTGAGTCTGTTCATCTAAAAACTGACAAAGGCTAAACAATAAGGCTCTTTCCAGTGTTTAGAGGGAGTCTAGAAAATAGAATTTGGATTTAAGACACAAAGCACAAATACCCTAACAGAGTCTTTTCTAAAACTGAAACAGAGGCCAAATCCTTACAAACAGTCTGTTAATTTGCAAGTAATTGCTCTAATAATTAAGTGCTCAGTTAGCTGATATTTGGGAACTGTCATTTAGAATGACAATACAAAGAGTTAAATCCTAGTTTCCTTAAATCCAATATTAAAGCAACATCAAACAATGCCCCAGAATATATATGTCAGCTGTAACTGGGCTGGTTTGTACTTCTTGGAGTCTAAAGTTGTGTACTGGAAAATGTTAAGCTGATAAAGAGTAAAGAGCTGCACTATTTTCAGCTCTCTTATCCAGTTAGCTGATTAAAACTGTTTTATAGCTAGAATAGAGCATCTGGGCTGGTACACATAGCATTCATCAGAGACTCTAAATCTGTGAAAAAGAGCAGGAAAACAACAAGCTTGGAATAGACAGCCCACAACATCTGAACAATTTGTAGTTAGAAAACCCCGCTGATGCTCAGAAATCACAAGTATCTGCCAGTCCTTCAGGATTTTTTTCTCTCTGCAAGCATGTGCTGTTTTTCTGAAGTTCCTATGTGCCTTCTAAAAAAAAAGTTGAAGATGGAACATACTGTACTGAGTAGCAGCCAGCATTCAAAGAGGAAAAACAATTCAGACTGCGATGCTTCTTCTATCTCCCAATTTACCATAGTTTGCCTATAAAAAGGATGATAATTTAGGTTGTTTTCTTTGTTCCCTTTAAAGTTTTAATATGGGTACTAGGTGACTGATCAATGCCCTGTTGCTCCCATCTAAAACCTCCAAAGAGGTCACGGAGTTTATAAAGGATTACCTGCCCTGGGCAGGCCAACTACTAACTGTAGTACTGATATAGGCCTTAATCTTGTCCGTGGCTTTTAACCTGAGCTATGTCTTCCAGTCCCCGTAAGAGGCTCAGTAGTGCAATTACATGTGACTTGGTTTCCAGATTCTTAAAAAAGCAAAAATCCAGAAATTTGCTACTTCAATATCCTTTCCTGCAAAGAGCCCCTGTGAAGCACTTAAATTGCCACTTCTGGTCTTAACAGAAGATTTTTACTAGAATGAGTTGAGGAATCCTGAAACCAATTCTGCATTTGTGGAGTAAGGAGTCAAGTTAAAATAGACTTAATTTGAACTAAAAATACTTCACTTTTTAACACCACAAGTATAACAAAATAAGATATTTTTTCCTTTTCAACATCCAAATATGTTATGAACTGCTCAGTTATATTCATTAGAAAAGTGAATGAAAATGTAAAGAAAGTTATATAAACCTCTTCTTTGGGGTGACTGTGTAATTTTAAATCCTTATTGGTATGGGTTTTATTTTCAAATTCTAAGTACTTTTACAACTGAACTTGGATATAACGCTCTTGAAACAGTGAAGTATAGATTTTCAGAGGAAGTGAAACAGTGGAGAATGTTGAAATAAAAAGGTGCTATAAGTGATAATAGAGTGGGTTGACGGCACTGTGAAATTTCTGCTTTTGGTCTTGAAAGAAGCAGGACTATGTGGAGGTGAAACATGGTGTTGGATACAAAGTGCAAAAGTCACCTTTGGGGGTTCTTTTAAACTTACCTTCTTTGCAGATGCTTCACTGCAGACACTTGCTCTGAGCTTTGCTTTCTGAGCACTTCAGCATATGAAACTTCCGGGACAATCCTTGATTTAAGAAAATATCAGTGTTCTACTCTTCAGGCCACTTCTCACTGCCTTGCTGCAGGGGTGAGATGGGAAGAGGATGCAAGGCTTCAGTTTTCCATGACCCTGAGCTCATGGGCAGCCTTGGTGGCTTTGACCAGATGGTATCTATCAACTGGATGAATGCATCTCCAGAAACTGCTGTAGCTTGTTGGATGGGTGTCATGATTTAACACCAGCCAGCCACCAAGTCCATGCAGCCGCTTGCTCACTCCCCCACCAGTAGGACTGAGGGGAGCATTGGGAGGGTAAAAAAACCCGGAAAACTCGTGGGTTGAGATAAAGAGAGTTTAAAAGAGAAAATAAAAGCTACACACACAAGCAAAGCAAAATAAGGGATGAATTCACTACTTCCCATGGGCAGGCAGGTGTTCAGCCATCTCCAGGACAGCAGGGCCCCATCACACGTAAAGGTTACTTGGGAAGACAAATGCCATCACTCCAAATGTCCCACCTCTTCCTCCTGCTTCCCTCTGCCTTATATACTGAGCATGATGTCATATGGGATGGAATATCTTTTTGGTCAGTTGGGATCACCTGTCCTGGATGTGTCTCCTCTCAGCTTCCCATACACCTCTAACTCACTTGCCAGTGTGGCAGTACGAAAAACAGACAAGGCCTTGGCTCTGTGTAATCACTGCTCATCAATAACAAAACCATCTCTGTATTATCATCACTGTTTTGAGCACAAATTGAAAATATAGCCCCATACTAGCCCTTGTGAAGAAAACCAACTCTACCCCAGCAAAAAAACAGTGCAGTAGGGCTGACACAGGGGCAGCCTGGGGTCTTGGAGGTGCATCAAACCCTGTCTCTCCAGGGAGCCTTTCCAGCTAAGCACTATTTCTCTGGACGTTTGCCATCTCTGCTTCCCCATTTGTCTGTGGGCAGAGCTGATCTCTGAGTGCTTCCTCGTGCATGTGTGAATTTACATGTTGGGTTTTTCCTCACTCACCTGTTTTGCATATGTTGTGCAGATCAGACAGCAAAGTGCTGGTAAAGGTAACTGGTTTATTCCAAATTTACACCATGTAGCACTGTAAGTTCACAGGGCAACCTTTCATTTATAAGAACACCACCAATAGTGACATCAGACTGTGGAATGTCACTTTCCTCTCCATGGAAAAAGGTGGAGAAAGTCTGTCACTTCAGATGCTGAGCCTGCCAGGGATTGTGTAATGTTGGTAGTAAAGGTTTCCTTGGACATGGCAGTGGTTGTTCTACCTCAGGCTAGTGAACTGGCTGTATTTAGGGGTACCTCTGAGTCTGTTGCTTTCTTCTGGATCAGTTCAACTCTGACACTTTTCCTGGTGTGGGTTTGGGGCTCTGTCTCTCCTCGATTTCCAACACTGACGTTGTTGTCAGACGGGTGCCCTGCTGCACTCCCACCTATACCAGCTGTGGCAGGGCAACACCTGGCACTGTGTCTGGCATGAGAGAGCATGAGGGTGGCTGTAAGGACGAGTGTTTCCCTGGACACCCTGCAGCATCCCTGTGTGGTGTGGTGACCCTGAGCTGCCAGGCTGTCAGTGAGTGTAGGATGGCTTTTCAGCCCGCTATGAGAGGGGAAAGGCATTGCAATGAAACTTCTCTGAGGCTGGAGAGCTCAGCCTGAGCCAGAGGCTTTCCTCTCTCCTGTTGTCTGCGTATGTGCCCTGGGCCTGGCAAGATAATTAGTCCTTTGTTGGGCAATTTTTTTCTCATTTAAGTGCTGTGATAATGAGCTACAGTCAGTGCCCTTCATAACAATATGATGGGGGTAGCAATGCACCGCTAAGCAACAGGAGGTTGTTTTAGCCAGGTGTAGCTGGAAGGTGTGGGAGGGAGGTGGGGGTGGCCATGGCAGTGCAGGCAGACAGATCTGGGCAGGAGGAGCAGGCTGCCCTGGGCTCAAAATCAGGGCCCATGCAAAACTGAGAGAGGCTCCTTGTCTGCATGCTTACCCTGGGGAGGTTGATTTTAAAGCTGGAATGCAGTGAGACATTCTACTTTTTCCACCCTATTGCAGTTGCTGTTGCCAACCTCATTAAATAAGAACCTCCAATCTTTGGCCTGCTGTGGAGTGGGAGGGAGGACTGGCTCCTACTGTGTCTGATCTGGTTAGTTATTAATCTCGGTTCCTGCCTGATCCCTGCTTGTTACACAAATAACACAGGCTTGGAGATCACTTATCAAAACTATTATTCTTTAATGCAGAACTGTGTGTTACAGGCAAAGCAACTGCAGGTGCATGGGAATGATTGAGGATGAAGTTTTAGGGGAGAGGGAAACTATTTATGGAATTGAGTTGTGCATAAAAGAGTTTACTCTTATGGTTGAAAAAGAGACAAGTGATGCCACCCCATTCGGAGGGATCTGTTCCTACCAACTGGGGAGTTTGTTATTCACCTGTGATCCTGTTCCAATTTCATACCTGCCCTGTTGTAGACCTGTAAAAGGCCATTCTTTAATGTTGGAGATGGGAATATTTTCTGCTTTCTGTAGCTCTCCAGAAACTTTTCCTAAACTACAAGCCCCAGCCACAGGTTCTTGTCTGAGGTGGGATAGAAGGCTGAATTTGGGAACTGTGTTTGAATGTAAACTTCAAGCTGGACTGGAGAGGCTTAGAGTATCTCTTCCATTAAGGTTTCAAGCTGAGATCATGGTATGGGTCTTATCATGATTATCAGATGCAAATCACTCTGAGGTGCTACTTTTGTCTTTTCTTGTGTTGAATAGGAACATGTTGACTAGCAGTAAGATAGAGGACATGATAAGAACTAATAGTTACTTGGACAGGGATGTATTTAAATTTTGTTGTTGTCTTCTGCTCTACTATGACATACATTGCAGCACTGCTGTCCAGAGTAACACACTGTGGAAGGAAATTAACTTGTCTTCGCTATATGGAAATTGGGATGTGATTTCTGTTGTGTTTGAACTAAGGAGAATGAAGCTGTCTGTGATGCAGCTATTAAATTTCCTTTTTTTGCTAGTCGTGCCCTTTTGTTATGGATTAATTGCACCTGGCTTGGTAAAGGGTTGTAGAAGGATAAAATTTTTTAATTGGAAATATCCAAAACTATTTTATTACAGTAAACCTTGCCAGCCAAATGCTATGTGAACATGATTTTGTCTAGTTTTGCTCTTAAATAGCTGAGACCTTGGAGTCAATTTAATTCATTGTGTTCCATGTAAATGAGGCTGTACTAAATGACTTCGGGGTGTTATCCATGTAGGTCTGAGATGAGGAGTCTGGGGGAAAATGATAGCATCTGACTGATAACTACTACTCACTAGGGAAGTCCCTGGCCTTCATTTCAGTAAAGATATGAGCACAAATGCATTATTACACTACTAAAAAGCCAGAGGAAGAAATTCTTCTCCCTGCCCTTTTTTGAGGGCACTCAGGTCTTTATCTTTCCAGGCAAGAGCAATTTTTGCAACAATCTGTCTTCTTGAGGGATTAAGTCAGTGTCAAAGAGAGGGGAGGCAAAACTGTTAATTGCAGGCAATTCAGCTGGGGTAAAAATGCAATTAGAAGAGACATTGTGGAAATTGCAAATCCCAGGGACTTTTTCCTTATACCAAGATTCTCTATACTCTGATTCATGTGTTCGGGCCTGCCAAGTTACTCACTTGGTAAAGCATGACACCAAAACCAGAATTTATCAGCAATTTATGGTGAAGACATGGAAAACCTCTCAGGCATCTTATGTCAAATTGCATGTTTTTCACCTGCTAGTGCACTTGTTTAAGGTGGTGTAGACCTACCTATGGCTGGGTAGTTTTTAAAGATACACACTTTCAAGCAGTTGACAAGAACTGTTGTATGAAAAAGTCTGTATAAAACCAAAGTTTCAGGTAAGGCTATTTCAGAGCTCAAAAATAGATCACTGAATGGAATGAATCACTTGTTCACCTAAATGTGGTGCCTGAAAGGGTAGGATCTGTTATTAGAATAGATGTTTTGTAAGTCCTTTCTTGTATTAAGCACTTGATTCAGAAAGGTTCCCGTGCGGCTCCATACAAGTCAGGTTTTGTGCAGTTACAATTTCAGCTCTGAGCCGGACCCGTGCTTCTCATCATCGCAGTCATCCTTTAGAAATCATCTAATGCAAAATTAAAAAAAACCCAAAACATTAAGATTTATAGAGAATTCTGAAATTAAATACATATAAAGAAAGATCTCTTACCATACACAAACATTAACTCATACAGCTGACATAGTGAATCCTTTCCAGCATTCAAAAAGGTAATTTTTGTTGTTGTTTGTTTGTTTTGTTTCTTTTTGCTTTGTGGAGGTTAAATACAGAATTTCTGTTATAGAGAAATTATTGAAAGAAAACTTGTCTGTATAAAGATTCCTTTCCAAGCTCTTGGGACTCTGGCTTCCTCAAATACAAATACCTTATATATTCAAGCTGGGATGTACAAAATTTTGGTGTTGAATTCAGTATCTACGTGACTAGAGCTCTATATCTGGTCTGACGAGGTACTAAACTATTCACAGGCACTTCATACCTTTCTAATGCTTTCTCTGATAAAAAAGGTAAATGCCATGAAATTTGCAATCTATCTACCACCTCCAGGCATAGTGTTTAGAATTGTTGAAAAAAATCCAAACAAACAAACCTGGGGAGGTAAGAATACCTGAGAATTGATCCATGGCTGAAGATGAAAAATGTAATTTGGCTAGAATGTAATTAACATCATGTTATGTGGAAGAGATTCACTGAAGAGGAGTGTCAGTTCTGATCTCCATTCTTTGATTCTTGGTAGACATTGAACAGGACACTAATGCAATACATCTATCTCATTTCATATGAAATGGCAGAATAGAATGAAGAGATTTGTGAAGAAGTTGAAAGAGTCTAAATAAAAAAAAAACCAACCCTTGGGAATGACAGTTACTTCTGAACAGCTCGGGCCCTGAACTTTGCGAGAAGGATTGTTTTTCAGGGATTTGTTTTTGATTTTGTTTGGTTTTGTTTTGGTTTTGTTTCTTTGTTTAGTTTGGGTTTTTTTCTGTTTGTCTGCTTTTAAATAGTATCTTTAACTTGGGTTGTGGCATTTGAATTCCATCTAGTTGAGCATGCTTTTTCTCACACTGTAGTCAGAAGAGTGGATGCAGCTTGTTCAGGTACACCTGACCTATTCGGGAAGTAGCCAAACTCGCTTAAGAAATAAAGATGTGGCAATATAAAGCAGCTTTAGCTCCAGAAAGTTTTTTATGTTTCCACATAAAAACTGCTGTAATTGAAGCATTGCTGGTGCTTGTTGGTGTGATTTCATGCTTGGCTAACACCAACTGAAGTCAGTACTCCTGAATACCAGAGGTCCATTGACTCACCAAGAAAAGTTTAAGCTCGTCCTGTCTTTTTTCTTGAGCCTGCGGTCGATTTTGGACAGATGTCTGCTGAATTGAATCTGCCTGCTAATATAGATGAATGGTAGTTATAAGTTTAGATTGACAGCAGGAAGTGTGGCTTGCCACTTCTCACAGCAGTGGAGTCTTAAAGCATCAGCACAACAGTGCCCTGAGCTGGTTTCAAGCTGACTCAGACAAGCCTACACAAGGTGTAGTTACAACTGTGCTGTTTGTATGTGCAAACCTGAGGTGTTAAGAGTGTCATGGCATGGCAAGAAAAAAACTACAACTTGAGTAGTATTAATGTTACTGAATTCTGGAATGTGCTGCTTTACAATCGACTTGAAAAGAAGTAATACATTTCTCTGCTGCTATAGCAACTGAGATTTAGATGTGTCTTCTCTTGAATGTAATCCAGAGCATCATGTATCATGTGCCTAGGATTTATGTATAGGAGAGAAAGGGTGCTACAGATGACTTAAAAGAATGTGCTGTGGTCGTTTCAGAAGTTACTACCTGCAGCTATCTGTTCTGCTCTTCTGTAGGAATTTCTAGCATCCATATTGGAGCTGGCAAAGGCAATATGTATCGACATCAAAACTCCCTTAGAGCATAACCCGACATTTCAGCTTAGACTAATAATGGCTCATGTTCGTAAGAAGATTTAGTTGCTGCTGCTCAACAGG